CTGAATATCCCGCCGCGTAATTACTGGCAGCGCGAGCCAGTTACTTATAGTAACTTATAGTAACTGGCTCGCGCTGCCAGTAATTACGCCGCGGGATATTCAGTGCACAGACCGTGATCATAAGACATACCGAAAATAGAAAATAGAATTTAGAAAATAGACATTGCATGTGAACGAAGCCTTAGTCTGGGTCTAATGACAGTCACTGTCTTCAGATCTAACATCAGAGTGGTACTGTAGATGGTCACTGCAACATTTCAACAGTTGACCATTGTAAAAATGAGTCTCTAACAACTCAATGGATGACTAAAATGGAGACTAATATGTAACTCAATCTAACCTTTACCAATTAAGACCATAAACTTGCCTTAAATGAGCATAAACAAAGTGACTTAAAAATATAAATTTAAGAAAATAAGGTTATGGACAAACCACAAGAACACTTCCAGCCACAAAAAAGATTTACATACAACATAATGCGTACATACATACATACTCACGTCTTGCAGGTCAGCACTTTGACAGTGTGAGACAGATTGAATTTATAACCATGCACACACACATACACAGTTCTAAACTCTAGACTACAGTAATCCTGGTGACCTTGTACATGAATCAAAGCTGTGAAAACAATTTCATTACCAAAGTTATTCCAACATAACACACCTTCCACACGCACATTTGCATTATAAAGAATTTTATGGGGGTCTTCAAATACATGATATTACAGATAACTCGACTTTGATCTTGAGTACAGTTGATTTGGTCTCCCAGAAACCAGCCTTATTATAATGTTTGTGCTTGTGTCTATTCAGAAGGATAATCTACCATAAAATAAGACACAGACACCTATTAAAAGATAATATGATATACAACAGTCGTTACTGCACATGGTCATGTATCTGTGGAGAGAAGTACCCAGAGGAGAGATTTTACCTAATAACATCACACTTGTGGAAGTAGCTGTGAGAGTTACAAAACCAATAAATAAACAGAAATTTGAACTGGTATTAAAATCATGTAATAATGGTCTAATTTAAATAAAGATCTGTATGGTCTAATAAATCCTGTCATTGAGGTTCTCTCCATGACTTCTTGGTACAGCCTTTTTTCAAAGGAGTACATGGTCAACTACTGCAGCTTGGACTGTTACAACTGCCAGGTAATAATTCATTACAATTACCAGACCTAAAATATGCTTGTAAATAGATGAAGCAACAAATACTCATTGAATACTCCAACCAAATGTGGTGACCCTGTTCTATAGCTGGTCCTGGCTGATATGTGCCCTGAACAATATTCCAGTGTGCTCCTGAATACAATCACATATTTACAATATTCAAGTAATTTTCAGGGGTCCAGGTACACTATAAAATTGTAATCTGGCATATTTGTTTTGTGTGGGCCTCAAAATGAGTTGAAATGGCTTTGTCAATAATTCGGCTTTGTGTGCAGTTCAATCTAAACAATCTAGGTAAACATGGCAATACAATGATAACCAACAATTGCTACATAATAAAAGAAATATGCACATAAAATGATTCACTGAAGGTGTCTGGAGCAAAATAAAGAGATTTGTGGTTATAAGCCTGGTGAAATGATGTATGGCACATCAGAGGAAAACATTGATATTCTACTGTGTGGGTGAACAAATTGGAAGGGTTTTTTTTAGGACTTCTCTTTACTTAAAAGGTTATACGAACATTTATGACTACATGTTATCAAAAGTCAGTTAAAGATTTTGAGACCTACTGCAGAATAACTTCCATTAAAACAATGTAGGTGGGGATGCCATTTTAAAAGACTGGTAAGCCAAATAATAAGTTCTATAACAGTGACTCATTCATAAAGGGGACTTACTTGATAATGTTATACTAACAGAGACTGGTAAAGCTGTCATCAATTATGGCTGTCAAACTGAAGCCAGCAAAGTTATACTTGTATTATCTCTTCTTGACAGAATTCAAATTACTAGCCAAGGTTGTGCCAAGGGGAAAATCCAACTTCTCACTTTTACTTTTGAAAATGCAGACATGATTTTAGGTTGTGAGAAAAAACTAGAAAGAAATGGCTTGATGGCCTTTAGGACAGGCGTCTGGGGGCTGCTAAGTCAGGAATACCACCCAGAAAATGTAGTATTTAAATAGGAAAATTGTCTGAAAACAAACAATCGGATAATTCTGGTACATCTGTTACATTTACCTAAGTGAAAGTAGTCCAGTAATTTATCAAGCCTATCTTCTACAGACAGGCACAAACTTGTGCTGTCACAACAACCTCTTCTTGACAGACAGACAGACATCCAGACAGGGAGAAAACAATCCACACTTTATAGATCATCCAGTCCAAGTACGTGCCAAGTATGTTTTAATAAGCCACACTAACAGCCTCATGAATGAACAGAGGTCATTTGCCTCACCCATCTTTAATCACACTCCAATGTTCCCCGCTATGTTTAGCTATTGGTATAAGACATTGTGCTTTGCTGAACGCGGACTAAAATCCAGGTGAATCTGTATAAAATCAATACAGGGCAATGCATCAATACAGCTGTTGAAAAGTAATGTCAATAAAAACAATATTTTTGCTAGCAGGGTGAAAGAGTCAAAGCTAGCTTCATCCCAACTTACTTCCCTGTTAGAATGGGTAATTAGACAATTATCTGAAATTCCTGACCAATGGAAAATGAACTAATTAACATTGCAATAGTTTTAATGAGTGCCAAACAATTCAAAACAACAAAGAGAGATTAATGTGAAGTAATTAGTCATTTAGAGTCAAATTACAGAACTTTAGCATTTCAAGGATAAAGCAAGAGCATTTCCAGACAGGCATGTTTCTCATCCCCCCCCCCCCCCCCACACACACACACACAAGTACATATTTCAGTGTTATTTAATTGCTCAACATAAATGCATACACATTCATGCACAATTGCGTGATATATCTCTTCAACAGTCATATAGCAGTTGTGTCACCCAGTTAAATAAGCAACTTGCAAAAACAACACCAACATATTTCAATATTTTTTGCAAATATTGGATTTTTTAATAAATCAACTTATGAAAGACATCACCACTGAAAAAGCTTTTGGCACAATCAGCTTTCGTGTAAGACCAAAAAAATAAAGTTTTGAATAACATGGCAACGGATACAAAAACATCTTCCAAATGAAGCTGCCAATTTTCATATCTGGCTGACACCTTGCATACTTAATTCCTATTATTAGCAGGTACACTTCCCCTTGTTATACAATAATGAACCAGTTTGGACATGGGTCTTTCCATCTGACTTCCTGTGGTAAGTAGCCCTATAAGACAATACACCACCAGTCTGTGTGGCAGTGCCATGAACTTTTCAGCTCACTGGCCACGCGTACCACCGCTTTCCGAAAATCTACTAGTCCAAATCAGGATTCACTGATTCAAATAAAAATTTTCAAGCCATCATTGCAGACTGAAACCAGGCTGGTTATGGACACGTTAACATGGTCAGTGCCTATAAGAGACTCTCTGGGTGAAAAAAGTCATACTGATAAAAGTATGAACAAATCTTTTGACCAGCTGCCCCCAGGTGGCCTCCGTCTGTACAAATACGAGCCAGAATCTAAACTTCACCCATCTTAAAACACGATCCCTGTGCCTTAGCTATATATGACAGTGAGCCTCACAACAAAAGCCCATGAGCCTCAGCTGTGTCACAGCACAAGTCCACATAACTTCATTGGTTATTATTGATTAATGCCAAAAAGAAAGATTATTGTTGAACAGATGCACAGAATGCCTTTGCTAGCATGATGAGTGAATCATAGTGATCATGTCAGCCCAGAAGCTGGACAAAACAGTCAGTAATGGCTGCTAGGTATCCTAGCAGAGCAATTCAAAATGACCCTTATTTCAGTGGTCTTATACCAGTGATTTAATTGCAATAAAGGCAAACACTAGGAGATAGCACTAGAACTGTATATTTTATACATCTTTTTCTTATACAGTTTGTGATCACAGTCCTGACTGCAAGTGGTCTGCATGACTTAATTGCCACGAAAATAGCATAATGATCAAAACAGAGTTTAAAATGTATGGATTTTCTCTCATTTTGAAGGGGTAAAAAAAGTTGAAAGCTTCAGATGGTGCATGTGTGTAATCTGAAATCTATCTTAGATTTTCAAAAAAAGGCCATACTTCATTAGTATTCTTTAAAGTTGAAGTCTGGAGTGATTGACAGCACAGAAATGACAGAACCCCCTACCTATTATTTGGTTAACAAAATTGATAATCCTAACCTCTAGGCCCATTTCAAAACATAGATTAAATCTTCAATAGTGACAAGTTCTTCTATATCACACAGCAAGGATTACTATCAGTGGTCAACAGCACATTACTACCAATTCAGTGCTCACCAGATCTATTACAGATTGTATATTACGACCAAATAATTCCACAAGACCAGCTTTTTTCTATACCTGAGCATTGTGGGCCAGCAAAGGTGAAAACTGCAGTGTAATTGAATTCCTGAATAGATTTATTCCAGCCTAGTTTGTCAACTTTCTTTTTCAGTCAACAAATAAAAGCATTTGACCATGGAATATGTACATTGTGCACACAAGCAGAGAGGAGAGGCTGGCTAATTTGGGAGCACTAAGCATGCACTAAGCCTGACTAAACCTAGCTTACATTGACACACAAGCTTTCACAGTGACATGAGTCCCATTTTAAAGGTTTTATGTTTCAAAATTCCTCTCCCAATTTCCTGTGTTGACATTAGCAGGTATCTTGATCCAGAAAGACGCTTACAAAGAACAGTGTATAGATAACAGTAGCAGAAGGAGGAAAACCATGTTAGTTTTTGAATACCTTGTGGTGCAGCAAAGTTAACACTCTGCGTGTTTAGTGTTTATTTACTGCACAGAAAGGTGACAGGCAATAACTGGCCTAAATTTTTTAATGTCACATCTAAAGTTTGCCTGCCTGTAATTTAATCCCAATCATAGCAGGCAATTATTGACTTTAGTCAATGCCCCGCTAAATTCTCCACGCTCTTGAATAAAAACTTATGCCTGAACCTCAGCATTCGCCTGCATTATCAACTGCTTTCACATAACTTAATTCACCCAATATTGAGTTCAAATCAAATAAAATTTCATTAATTTCTAATTTATCTCCAGGGTCCAGGTCGGTCTCCGTTGCCCTCTGTGATAAGTAATTTTAAACTTGAATTAACATTATGGACAAAATTCCAAATTTGAAGCAATCTAATGTGTAAATACCTCTTTTCCTTATATTTTCAATGACAACATATTGGCAAACTTCAAATTTTCTAATTTTTTCTTCTTCAAACGTTTACTTGCTTTACAAAACCACAAATCATCTTTCTTGTGCCTATAAATTACAAAAAAAGTTTATCGATAAACCAGGTAGAGCAGGTCTTACACAGGTAAAGTAACCACCATCAGACACGCCTGTATACCTGTATACCTTGACAGTGACTGTTTAAATCCCAAGTCAATTAGTCATTAATCATTTATTGAATAACGGTCGACTCCACAGCTTAGACACAAGAGCTCAGGACTGAACCCTAAAATTCCTGTACTGCTCAATGCCCTTGCAAAAATCAATACGTGTGTGACTGCAAAATCGACTTAGTGTTATATTGAGAAATGCCTCAGGTAACCGAGGGGTGGGTCACAGGGAAACAGGGCCAGTTGAATAGAGGAGGAAATCCATTAAGTTATTTGATTAAGAGGATTTAAGACAACCAACTTTTCCTAAATCTCATTGACCAAATGTAGAACAGGTCCAGTAGGGAGCTGACAAACAATGGCAAAGTCAAAGTAAACAAGTCCAAGTTAAAAATTGGACTGTATATTATTTAATTATATTTTTCTGGTCAAACTCCACCTATGGTGGAATGGACACCTGTAAAAATGAGCTTTATTGTGCCAAGTAGTTAGATAGTGAGTTTTTTCTTTTTTTTTTTTTTTTTTGGGGGGGGGGGGGCACACAACAAACAATGTTACAACTACCAACAGTAACACATAGGAAGAGTCTGTATAGATACATGACTAAGAACTTGTAGCAGCCATATCACTATAAGGATGTTAATAACATTCACTGTCCAAACATTGTCAAACAGAAAATTGGATAGTATGAATAACGTAGGGATAAGATTTACTACACATTCAACTAAAGTTTAAAGTGATTGAAAGACGGGAAAACAGGAAAATAATTTACCCCTATTCTACAATGCCCAAACTGGATAATAATTTCAAAGATAAAGGTATCTTAATCTCTTTAACCACATAGTTCTCCAGAGATAAGGATACATATAGGGAAGGTAGAATTGCCTTCTAGGCGCGTGATGTATGGAGGCCGTATCTCCTCAACTTGATAACCAAATTTATACAATCTGAAAATTGTAGACATATTCTCTCCACAGTGATAGTATTCTCAGCTTCAAACCTACTTGGAAATACAGCTTTCCTTTTGGCCAAATATTTTGCTCATCCTAAGTTTTTTTGTTTTTTTTTTCAAATTGGATACAATAAAGTGTTGTGTGTGTTCCCAGCTATCAGATGTACTTCAGGCTATGTAGGACAGTCACACTAACCATACATTATACACAAACAACATCCCGTCTCTTCACTGAAACTGTTCAAAATCCAAAACAGTTAATAACCTCAGGTGTTGACTTGGTTTCTCTCGACTTTTAAAAACAAGTATCAAGCAGGCAGCTCTGCATGACGTAATACGCCTCAGATTGCTCATTATTCCACACTGTGACACCGTAGACTATGGTATGCAATCCAGTTACTCCATCAATGTGTTTCAAACTAATGAGCTTCCAGCAGTCAAACATATGAATTTGCCATTCAAGTTAAAATTATTGTTTATATTTCAGTTTATGTAGTATAAATAATTTATATTAAATAATTTTGGACATATGAATAGAGCATTCCAATGTCATGAAAATGCAATCAAACTCAAACAAAGAATTCCAATTTCGATCAATTTTTAATTTTGTCTTGCAACGCTACAAAAAAGACTTCACAAAAAGTTAAATGCTGGAGCCTACCATGGATCAAGCAATGAATGTTTTAACTTTTACTCCAAAAAAGGAATCATCGAAGATAATACACTCAGCCTGCAATAATGTCACATAAGATAGAGATCTCAAATTGTTTGGGGTAAAAAATCTAAAATGAGCAATTAGTCAGTCTATTTATGGTTTATAAAAGACCTCATAGTTACAGTATATAAAATATGACTCCCTGAGATTCAGACACAACAGTTATATTGGGTTTTAATGTACATCAGAGAGGTATAATATCAGAGAGGTATATATAATGAGGAGACTCCTCCTAGTTACACAGAAGATAAGAAACAAAATGAGGAACCACCATGAACCAAAAGTGTACCAAAGGGAAGCAAGTAAAACCCACTTCACTTTTTATGGGTGTGCATCATTGCTCCAAATGATTTATTTTATTTATTATTAATTTACTGAAAACTTCCAAAGTTCAATCATTGGTGGAAAGGTACCCCAGCAAAGAAAAAAAAATTTTTTATCCATGACTGAGTGGCTGATTTTCATGCATTTTTAAATAACATATATATTTAGCTGCTAGTTCTGGTAATGAATAAAGTACTAGTAAATGTTTATGTACAATAAAAGCACTGGACTAAGCTCAGGAAAATCCAATTTTTTTGTTTAAAAAATATCATTAGTAATAGTATATTAGATGATAAACATCAAATTTATAACTTAGTTTGATCTCCTACAATATTCTGATAATATGCACTTAAACACAATTTTTCACTTTGTGTTACATCATAAAAAGGCCACAACTTACAGCTGCCCATGCCCTGGCTTTCTTCAGGCATGGTTTTCCTAGTGCCTGCGTAACAGCTCTAAAATAGCATAGCATGTTCTAATAGTGGTTGGCGTGATTCTCCTCCCATTTGTTAAGCATCTTCCCACCTGCCACCACTATTAACTAGCCTAGGACAAGCCATAGACCCCAGCTGTCTGCAGTCAAACCAGTACTCTCAGCTACATCTCCTCTGGCACCAATATATAGACTACAAACACACACTTCCCCTCTCCCTCTGACAGATGTAGGCCATTTCCTTCAGAGACATCCCATCAAGACAGCTATAGTTCTTTCTTCTTAAATTATATAATATTTAACTCTTAGATTCAGTTTAGGTCATGTAAAATTCCATCACCTCTTGCATCTAAGTGCTCTCTAACACCCGTTATCTCGGGGGGTGGGGGGTGTACAGAGAGAAATCAAGTCATTTTTATCTGAAAAGATTGATGACAAACCAGTCCCTTCTCTGCCATGCTGTTACAGGTTATACACCTGCATATGAGTCTTGAGTAAAACTTCAGGTTATTTTGATGCACATCAATACCAAATTTTCATATTTTCAGGTATGTTTTAAAAGTCTTTTTAAGGAAAAAAGCCAAAGGTCTAATATCAGAAAAAGAAAACCGGTCTGAATTTATAGTTAGAATATAACTTACCATTTATGTTCAATCATAATTTGGACATAATCTTTAAAAATAGGTTAGAACTTCATAAAATCAATCCAAAGTCCCATAGAAATCATATATAACTTCAGGTTGCTTATAACAAAAATATGTTCAGAACGCCAATCATTTGTATACATAACATTTGACAGACTCAAGATCAAACTCAAACCTATCTTCATATTGCAAACAGCAAAGCAACTGCCAACTATGCAGTGGCTCCCAATACTCTATTCACTGCCTTTGTTGACTGAATACAACACTGCAGGATATACCTTCAGTTCTTCTTTGATGACCAACCCCAAAAGGTAAATGTCAGCTCAAGTTTCCTATTGTGTGACATACATGTGTAAAAGAAGTGGCACACTAGCGGGTTAAAGACAGGGATTAAATATTTTAGAGAGTAAATGTTTGCAGAATAAACTTCCTTATGTTGCTTCTAATTACAATTGTTCACAGCCTTAAAAAGCCAAAGGTATTTTTGTTCTTTTTTCATATCAGTCTCAATTCCTGACCTGACAGAAGAAATTGATGCAGCAATATCCTTGTTTTTTCTGATATTACTTCAGACATTATTAAAATAAAAAATAAAATGATTCCAACCATCCTAGATAAACTAAAATATATATATCAAGATGTATAAGAAAAATATTTACTGATTTAGGTTTATTCTAGCAAGTAATCACGAAAAACATTAACGTTAGTACTAGTATGTATAGTTTCATATTAATAAAAAACTGTTAATAATCTTTGTTAAATAACGTACAGCATTCGTTATGAGATATACCTTTTAGGTAGAGCAATGGCAAATTGTGTTATTTGTGCGAAACGTCTTTGCCTTTTAGAGACGATTTATATAATTTTGGTCACAGTCGATTTCAAGCTCAAGTTGTAGCAAGATGAAACAGGAACAATAAAACATGGGAATCGAGAATAAGCCCTAACAGCACTATCTACGACGAAATAATATGATGTTTGAAGTAAAAAGACATGAGGTATTGATTCGACACACTTGCACAATGACACTGACAGTATCCGCTCAACGCGAGTACGTGTTCGTCATGCATGGTAAAGTAAGGCATAAAAGTTTAAGTCCTAGGCATTTTTCGGACTAATCTGTGATAACTGAAACTACAAGACATTAAACTTACCTTATGTAGTACATAGAGTTCACAGTGGCTTCAACTCAAATGTAAACTATAACATTATCTTGGAAGTTTTTATCCTTCGACTTCAAAAGATTGGCCGCCATTTTTAGAAGTCACGTGATCACTAAGGACTCCAAATCGAAATCGAGGCCAAAAGGGAATTCCATGGAAAAACCCAATGGTCTTGCCCGAGGTTAAATACAAGTAAATTGATATATAAAATGATGCTGTACCAGCTTTCAAGAATATCGGTCACCTCAAGTATAAACTGGTGCTTACAGTATAAACTTGAAGCTTGTTTTAATTAAAAAAGGATTCCACTAAAATTGCCTGCGAGAGCGACTGCTCTAACAAATGTTGGGTAATGAAAATAATAATAAAGCTGCAGTAGATTAGAACCTCATCAAACATCTGTTGAAATTACCATCAGGTGTATTTATCCTAGCACCCACATGATTGGAACACAAAATTTCCAAATTGTAAAGTCAAACATTATATGATTATATGGGATAAAATACACAGACAAATGCACATTCACAGAAAAGCTTCTTTTATTCACATCTTGTGACATTTTGACATGAAATTTTGAGTGGGCCTTTATAATCAGAACCAAAATATAACAAAAGTGCACTAAAAGGTTACAATGTCAGAAAAAACAATAAATACAATCTTTTGCCCTTCAAATAATTTAAACCATTAAATATTTTTAAAGAAACTTAAAATTTAGTTGTCATATTGACTTTCAGATAAACAACAGGTTTACAAAACAACTTATTATGTCAATTAATTTGAAGCTATCATGGCATAAAATCAACTTAAAATAACTTGTTTCATTACCCTTAATTACTCCCCCCAAAGGCAATGAATTAAACATTCAAATTATATCTACTGGTTTATGCTTATATGCCTCCCCTCCCTCTAGCAATGACTGCTCAATGTCTTATGTAAGACAAATAAATAGTAAACTAATGGTTTCAAGTCAGTCAAGTAAATTTCATGGCAATCCATCACCATACTACATCTAATTATGAAAATATCACTTTTATTAAAACCTTTTATTACTGATACTGCAAAATATAGTAGTTTCTTGCAGACCCCCTTATATAATAGTTATACGTCTTCTAGTTTGGATATCCTACAACTATAAGCACAATACATTTCACACACACTTTCTAATTAATTAAAAAAGAATTTATGACAAAAAAAAAAAAAAAAATTAAATGACTGAAAATGACAATGACAATAAACACTACATCAACCGAACTAAGTAAGAGATTAAATATGCAAATCCTAAAATTTAATCTAATTTTTCACAAAAAAATAAATAATTAAATGAAAATTGAAAAAAAAATAAATAAAATCAAACCCTAACAAACAGTGTAAAATATAGTTACAAGATTCAATTCTTATTAGTATCACATCAGAAAAATATAGATCATTTGACTCTGGATTTGTACATTTAGGTATTATACATATGTCAAGCACTCTTAATAATAATCAATATAATATTTTTAAATCTACCCTTAAGCTATTTTGAGATTCCTACAAGGAAAAAAAAAACATTACATATAAATTTTTTCTTTTTGTACTCACTACATCACAAAGTGCATCACAGCACGTCAACTCCATTTGTAATCTAAGGCACAACTTTTAACAACAATGTCACATTTTACAACAAAACATCTCAAGGTGCTCAGCCGTGTGCAAGATGTAAAGATTCTCGAAATCCCAGCACATAAGTCAAGAGAGTGTCTACCAATGCTGCACTGCAGCATATTTGGATTTCATCATGCTCCATTGGCGATGTGGTCACAGCTCATGCTCTTTTGATAACTGACAATGTCATTACAAATTTTATTCACAAAGTAGATTCATACAGACCACATAAAAGCTTTTTTTACGCTGAACATCACTATACCACACAAAATGGAAAATGACTATTTATGTATATAGGCATAGGCACTCGGTAATACTTATTTACAACTAAACTGGATGCAAGTGTTCTTTGGTGAGGTGTCACTTTTTTATGCCAAATAACACACATCTACTACTTCTACTGCAATTTTGGCAAAGTAATAAAATCAAATTTATTATAAGGCCTTTTTTTCTTTAATACAACAACAAATTAAACCTCACTGTTTTGGGTGTAAGCTGTATATACAGAACATATCTCTTGGAAATTAAGTTATGAGAAATGTCATGGTAACAGGTTGCATAATTGTTGTTCTAGTTTGCCTTACAAAGCTGACCAGCACTTGCTGCTCATACATGTCTAATTCCATCAACAAAGCTCAGACTACAGAAGGGACCTCTTAACCAACTTTAAACTTCTTTGCTGCATGTCCATCTCCAGAACCAGCTGAAGTGACAGGTACCACCACTATGGTCTTGGTTCCTGAAGCACCTGTCCCTGATGTCAGTACTGTCACTGTGGTATTAGCTGTGCTGGTGCTGCCCCCAGTGGCAGGTGTAGTGGCCAGCCCTGTGGCAGGAGTAGTGGCCAGTCCCTTGGCAGGGGTAGTGGTCAGTCCCGTGGTTGCTGGGGTCACTGTGATAGTAGGCAGGGATTTCAGAGTAGATGGCGAGGATGTGTTGGTAGTTGTGGCTGCTTTGCTACTCAGGTTCTCCAGAGTACCAAGAGTGATGGCTCCACCAAGATCAATAAACTAAAATTATTCAATGAAGCATCTTCATAAATAAATGACAAAGGAGCTTCTCAACAATAACTAACACAGAGTAAAAGAACATAGATTTATTTTACTGAATGATAACACTTTGAGCCTCTTTGTAAGGTTCAACCCAAAGCTGGCTGACACTGAAGGTGGAGGTCAATCATCTCAGCATCTAAGCTTCAGGTAGAACCTAACCAAGACTGAAGCACAAAGTTTATAACTGGTTTGTTAAGTGATCACAAACTTTTGAGATAACTGAAAATAATTAAGACACATGGACAACTAATTGGTGAAGGACCTATCTCATGTAGTGGAGATCAAAGAAGGAGAAGACTGATCCAATTAAAAGGTCAACTCACTAAAATAAATGACTGCATGATACTGACTCATGACCATTCAGCGAGCTACAAAATGTGTAGCCACGTAATAAGTTAAAGTATACATTTAGTGTTTCAACGTTACAAATGTTTTACCATTATCTGCATCACTCACCTCTCCCATCACAGCAATGGGAGACTCCCCAGTAGCAGCAGCCACTTTGTGCTCTACCAGGTAGAACATGTATTCATCATACAGCAAACGGATGAGATGGAATGAGCCAAAGCTTGCAGCACTTCTCAGAGTCAAATCCCGTATAACCATTGAGCTTTAACAGAAATGAGTGCTTGTCATTAACTTTAATTCAAAACAAAAAGGTAAAAATAATCAGCTACCATAGATTTTCATCATTTACTTAAATGTTGCTAAAATCTTTAACTATTTTTACCATCATGTTTTTTACTGTATGTACCAAGTATTTATCATATCACTATGCCTGATGAAAATACAAGACAAAAATAGCATCTGTATCACTGGCATAGAACATATTTGGTTCATGTCATGTAAAAGAGCCATTTAAGCATTGAGATTTTATCATTAGTGTACACACATATGTAAAAAGAATCTCACCTGTAAAAAGACCATTTCAATAAGAACTGTCTTGCTGCCTTTGGGAAATTCTCGGTGCCTTCATGTGGCTTCAGTACTTTGTTGACTACCCCTTCCAGCCACACGGACCACTGTTCTAGAGTGTTCTGCTGCTGCAAAGTTTTCTTGAAATCCTGCTCCAACTGTGTCACTACTGCATCATCACATTGGCACACCCAGGAAGCTTGCTCCTTTAAAACAAAATATTTTACCATGAACCTACTATAGCAATGGTTTGCTTAAAGTCATAATAACTCTTCGTTTTGGCCAAAAATAGGATTTTCCTGAAAAAAACGGCAATTTTCCCGTACTTATCAATAGTCAACGACCCCATTCCTGCATTCAAAGTTAATCCAGGGTTTTTTTCCTAAACGTACGGTTTTTTGTTAAAATCTCTTAAGAGATTTTAACTGACGGAGCTCTCTCTGACATTGCATAGTCACTGGTGACCTACTTAAAACTGCGGGAAAAGCAGACAACAACAACACTATATAAGATTTATGAGATATATTCGTCTTTTTGTTAAAAATGCATTTATATCCACAATGTATGCCATTCTGGGTTTTTCGTTATCCGACGCACTGTACAAAAACTTGCAACTTACGTCTGTGTCTGCATCAACACGTTTCGCGCCATGTTATTTTGGTCTCGAATGAACGCGAGAATCCGCGTGATACCCTTACGTCATTAGCAACGGATGCCTTGACGACCGGGAAAAAAGGCATCGAAAGCCCTATTGACAAGCACAGATTTTAGTTTTACTACAATAACGGCCGTTTTAGTGGTAAAATACAATAGAATATATTTCCATGCGTTGTTTACAATGTATTTCTTGGAGAATTTTGAATCTCAAAGGAAGAGTTATTATTGCTTTAAAGTTAATTGATGAAATAAGTAATAATTAAGATATTCTAAGCCCTTTCAACACTTTATTGCTTTAGATAACAAGGTAAAGGCAAGTAAATCTACCTGTACGTTTGCAAAGTCCACCCTGTTAAGGTCACTTAACATTTGGTTTATCTGGGACGTGTTCTGTAGGACGGCGCGAGCAGCCTGGGCCAGGTGATTTAATGAAGTGTATCTCCTCAATGTCTGGGCAAAAGCCGTGACTGCTCCAACCTAGGTATTATACCAGTAACAGTTTTATCTTTAAGTCTGAAGTTATTTACACTTTGCAATGCATATGTATTTCATTTTATTCTTAACAAAAGACTATATACACTTGCATTTCGGTATATAAAAATGGGAAGGAAGATTCATGTCCAAGTTTTTATAACAAACCAATAGTAAGTTAAATTTTTTAAAAAATGATAAATCACAGTGTAAATTGGTGTATACCTTTGCTTTAACCATTTCCTCAGGTACTCCCTGCATGGAACTCTTTAGCCAACCCTCTAAACTTTTGGCAAAATTACGGATGGCCTGAGTCAAAGAACCTGAATAAAAACATATCAAAACACAGAAATCAATATATTCATGAGATATTAATGTTATGATGTATATCGAGAGATACATTTTAAGGTTCTCTACAGAATTGCAATACTGGTCTTGTTTTTTGTTTACCTGGTATGGGCCTTAAAACATCGGGTATAAGTACTTCCACAAGTGCCTGGTAAAAGCAATAGTCTGATCTCCTGACCCACTTTTGAACTGGCTCAAATCTGCACAGAGAATAAAGCCTCTCTTTGGGGAGCCTTCGCTCAATATCACTTTCCGCACTAAAATAAAATCATTATAATTTTTTAATTTATCTCATTATGATAAAAAATCTAGGTTTAAAAAGTTTCATTTTAAGTAAATATAAATCATAATCAAAACTACTCATCTAGAGTACATTTTATTCTATAATAAATTATATCCAAAGCAAGTCTTACGTGGGGAGATCTGTTGGGTTTCTCCAAAATGACTTCCAAAGTGCTTCAAAGAGTGAAAACTGTAGATTCACAACCACATCAAGCATTGCCTATTTAAAAAAAAATGGTATCCTTATTATTATCATCATTTTTTATTTTTCATTTAATTTATTTTTTATTTTTGAAACGGACATGAGCTAATGTGGACAAAACAACAAGAATAGGTATAATAAAACCAGTGTTCATTCTAGGAATGTTTCAATGTGGGACAAAGGGCCCCCAACATTTAAAAAAGTGGGCCATTACATTTTAAAGTGGGCCCTTGTTCAAATCTTGAAATTATAATATGTAACGCATGTTGTTTTACTGCTGTGGTATTTATGTTCAGAGATGAAAAAAAATTATTATAAAAATATTTTGACTAATAGATGATCACATTCAATAAGTAATCCCAATTTTCTAAAACAAAACCCTTGAGTTGACGCTCCAATTTTTGTTAACAAGAATAAGATAACACTAAAATATGTTCACGTTTTATTCACCAATAACCAAGTTCTTTCTATAACGACATTTTAAACCCATTTTTGGCTTCAATTTATGAAAAACACATTTAATTTTACCTCTTCTGTCCTGTCCCATTATCAATGACCCTTGACTAACTGGCATGCATTCATGACTTATGAAATTAATTGTCTCATCCCTGATAATGATACATAATTCGTTGATAAAAAGCTACCAGATTGAGAATGATATCACACATATTTCGACAGCAGAGACATAGGTCTTACTAAAAATCACTTTAAGAATTGTTCCTTTTTTTATGTTGTTAATGAGATTGTCAATGAATTGACACTGTATTGCCTTGCACTGTTTCTCATAATTAGCACAAGTCACAAGGATGTCCCTGGAGAATTGACAATGACCTTTTCCCCACTTTCAGGAGAAATTCTTCAATTTAGCTGCCAGGTATACCAGACAACATGTAAGTCCTTCCGAACTTGTGGATTGCAATGCCCTCTTAAACAATCCAGTAAACTGATTTCACCACTGCCATGATTGCTCCATCTTTACCTAGAATTGTTATAAAAGTTACAATTAAATTTGAATTTTGGCATAAAAATCTGCATAAAATGTTTAGTAGTGTTGAAGGTATCCACAAAGAATACTCCAGCACACTATCCCTTACTTTATTTTTCCCTTAATCACCATGAACTGAGACCAAATCTCTCAACACAATAAAATTATGAAATATTAATGTGAAAAATTTTACCTATATACAAAAAATAAGGTTCTGGGAAATAGCATGAGCTTGACGCCCTATGTCAATGCGACGCAGCAAACACATTGTTTACATAGTTGTTCAACATTGCGATATCCCAGAATGCACTGTCAAGAGTTCCTCAAACTGCACAAATATAATTACAACACGTGGGTCCGGGACCGTCACGATAATCACTTTGATGTCTATTGCTCTGTGTTATAAATAAATATTGACAAAAAAATAATATCTTACCTTCTAAAGCTCTGCAAAAAGCCTGTTTAGCTTGAGCTGCTTCCGACGTTTCTTGCATGGCAGCGCACGTCTCATGTCGCATATGGGTTTATTAGTCCCTTGAAAGAAGATATTGTCCTTTTTTTCAATGCATAAGCTGCAATACACCAAGTTTGCGTTATCGTCGTGTACAAGCCACTTGTAAGTATTTCTCCACCATTTTTGAAACGACCTTGAAGTTGCATTGCTATTCGACGCGGTATCAGCAGTCGTGACGGCTGCACAAACTTTTGTTCTCTTTTCTGGTGGGAATGTCTGCTGTGCATGATCATGATCATCTCCGTCGCTACTGTTCTGAGCCGTTTAAGAGTGATCTTCGGGATCGATTTTCTTTAAAAAACTTAAAATACCATTTTACTTCTTCTCCGCCATCATGCACAATGTACGGGTTGATCAAATTGACCTACATGGACAATTAATCTCAGCCTATCAGGGATTCAAAAAAGGAGGGGCGATCGCCACTGATTTGCATAAAGCGCATGACGTCAGCATAAATTAAGATCTTTGTTAAAACTGCGACGAGTAAAGAATATCTTCGTTACGTTTAACATTAGATCTTGATGTCAAGAGAAGTCGAGTAAACAATCAAACTTCGGCCGTGAATTTGCTGAATTGGAGGGCGCGTTTAGAACACAAAAATGCGCCGCTGTTAATTCTCTTGAATTTTGTTGGCGCAGCTCGCTCTACGAATTGCGTCAACCACATTTTTTCTGCGTCAATGACGCAAGGGCGCGTCCTAGAATGAACACTGTAAAACAGTTTACTCAGCAGAATGACAGTTTCAGATGTTCATTTACTGTATATCACAACAAAACTTACCTCACAATGCTCTTTATATAGTCTTTCAAAACTACGAATATGTTCCTTTGTTAGCCCTTCTGGCAAAACATTTCCTTCCTGAACATCTCCAAAGTTTGGAATGGCCCCTGAAGCATCCCCAAGGAACTGCTGATGTTGTTGCTGTTGGGAATCTGATCCTTGAGAATTCTGATCCCGTGAAGTATCAATATCTTTACCATCAATACCTGTCGTTGCTGACTTAAAGCTGTTGATAAAAAACACATACACATATATGTGGTAAATATGTAAACATACATTCCACATAAAAATATTATTATTATTTATGCCCCACTGATCATGACAAGATTAAAAATGTATTGAAATTTGAAAGTGAAATTAAAAAACTGACCAAATGCCACGATATGGTTTCAAACAGCATAGCTTAAAAAATACAATAGAGCATTGTTTTATATTAATCAAAATTTATATTTTTACACAAATTTTCTTCTTTTTCCTTTGCTATATATATATATAATTATTAGTTTTGGGCAATTTTGGCATTGAATAATGGTGGAATTGTGTGAGGAACATTAATTCCCTGAACATCACTTCTTTTTACAACTGGAAGAGACAGATAAGTAGCTCAAGTGTACAACCAGAAATTTGAAGGTGCAGTTTTATAGCTCTTTTATGGCTGATCGACTGATTAACTTGGGTTATTCCTAGGCACACTGACCTTATTTGAGTCATATTAGAAACAAGCAAAAGTTGTTTTTATGTATTAAAGTGAATGCACCCTCTCTTTATAAGTTTATATGTAACTTTAAGTTACATATGAAGAGAGAAGACTTGCTTACCGTTTCCCCTGATTCACTGGTTGTTGCCTCATGGCCATAGTCTGGTCATCTGTGAATTGGTTCAATGGAGAGGTGGGCTTGATTCTGATGCCATAGTAATGGTACTTTGAATTACCCCTAAAATACAAGTAAATACAAGTGTGTATATATATATATATATATATATATATATATATATATATATATATATATATATATATATATATATATATATATATATATATATATATATGCAGCTTTCAATAAAATATCCTATTAGCTTTTACTAATGTAATCAAGGATCACTATTTTCTTTAAATCTATTTATGACATTTCATTAAATCATTCACATTTATTGTAAAATATTTCAGAAAAAGAAATACTAATGATGTTAGTAGATGTTTTCTTGTTGATTTCAAGTTGGACTCCATGCAAACTTTTGATTGTAAAAATTGCACCAATTGAATTGTTCAATTTCTGTAGCTATTTTGTATTTACCTGGTTCCTAAGCGTCTTGTTCTCAAACCTAGAAACACTGAGCGAATCAGCTTTCCAAAGGAAGCTGGATTCATGGGGTCCAACTTACTCTCTGTACAGTGATGCATATAATGACTATACAGTGTAGATCGTGGAAGGCTCACCCCCTCAGCAGTTTCATAATTATCAATCAGCCACTGAACCTAGAGTGAGGACACACAAAAGCAAACCAGTTAGGGTCAGACAGAGAGAAAAGGCAGTACATAGAGACCAAATTACAAATACCTGGTGCCCAGTCTCCTGGTGCGTAAACCCAAGAACACAGAGCGTATAAGCTTCCCAAAAGATGCAGCATTAACAGGATCCTGGGAGGTTTCACTACAGTGGCGCATGTACAGGTTGAAAATGGTGGCACGGGGAAGGCTTACTCCTTCACATGTTTCATAATTGTCAATTAACCACTGCACCTGAATTCAATAACAAGAGCCCCATATTTACATCTATCATAGATGCTGTCAGAACATTTTGTTATAGTCTCTCTGCTCCTCTGCAGTCATAAATGACCCTTTTTCTCCCAGCTAGGAATAAAGCCACCAATTTCTTTAAAAAATCTAAGTGCCCATATTGACAGCAACTGTTCCTGGCACGGGACCTTGCTAATTCTGACAATGCTGGTCTGTTTTGAAACTTCTCAAGAAAAACTAAGAGAGTTATACACAATACAAGCAAGCATATGTACAACATTCATCATGCTAAATTCATTATATTACATCTAGGATAGTCCACCTGACTGGAGTGCCATAACAAATTGTGCTTCTGGTACATGGTAAAAAATGCCTCACTAGAATCAACCTTTAACAGACTTGCTCAAATGCAAGTAGCATAATTGATAAAAAAAAAAAAAGACAGAGATACACTGAAAATAATTGAAAGCTAGATAATCTCATAAGTATCTTTTTACCCCTTTGGCCTCCTTTGCATTTCCACTGAAAGCATCCTTCAGCTGAAGCTGAAAAGATGGACCATGTTATGCTTCTTTTCAATAACATCTAAATAGGTAATCTTTCAGATGAGACCCTAACTTATTTATAACCATGGATTAAGACCATTGTTGATAATCAATCCTAGACATTTGTAATCCCAGCTAATAACAGAGTAGGCAGTTGCTGCTGCACAGAAAAAATAAAAACTATAAATTCTTTTCAAGTCTGAAGCAAACTTACTTAGTTCCCACATACTTGAAATTCATTAAAACACAAGCTTTTCTTTATTTTATTTTCAGACACATTAGGGGACAAGAAACCCCAAACTTTGCTTTTCTTAACTTTTTTTATGTTCCACAGTTGTTAATTAAGAAACAGACATGTAATTATAACATATGTTATTATTTACTTTATCTACAATCTGTGAAATTATTATATGTTTGTTAACTTGAACACAAATAGGTGGTTTAGTTTGGAGTACTTACTGTTGCTGGGGATGCCCTGGTAGTGTGTGTGAGGGGATGTCCTTCTCCATCCATAGCACCTCCTTGGACCAAATAAGTCCCCCCTTGATGTGTAATAAACTGTCCTTGCATGCCTGGTGGTAGACCTCCAACTTGAGACAACTACAAAATGAATTGAAATTGAAGAACAAATGATTTTCAATTTTCCACACTTTGATAAATCATTAAAATATATGTATCACAGGACAAATGTGTATTCAAGCCAGTCACTGACTTGCCATCATTGATATATACTAGGACAGAGGCCAATTGGGATCTGACCTTAGACAATACCTGATTATATGAGAACAGCTACTGATATGGATTCTTCAGCTTGTTAAAATATTAAATGAATCTGAATAAACACCTGTCCTGTGACATACCCATACAACTTACAATAAAATATATAAAATCAGACAGTGCTTATATCAAAATTACCTGTGCTCCAGAAACTGTCTGGTAATATGCTCCAGAAACAGGAGTATACATATTGGCTTGGCTGTAGTCATAAGTTTGTCTGTAAAAAAACATACAGTTAGTATCTTTTATATAAAGTTGCAGCCACATTTTGAGCACATGAACTGGATTGGGATAAAAATTAAAGAAGGTAGAGAAAAGCAAACAGACAACACCATAACAGCAGATAACAATAATGCCTCATGTGCTCAGAATGTGAACAAGTGGATAACTTTGCAGATTAATTCTCAATGTTCTTTGCAGCTGTATTTTCAGTGTTCTTTTTGGTATAATACACAGCCATAAATTGTTAAGTATAATTTTGCCCATTTAAACTCAATCTGCAAGGTTATCTTCATAGAATTAGAGGCAGGCCACAATTATTCATATAATGCATGTTATTAATCAAACCCATTTAAAATAAATTAGGGGAAAAACATCTAAAATTCAAAGTGGACCTAGGTACAAAGAGAGGGAATTTCTTAAAATATTAAATTGTAGTTCTGATCTATTTACTTTGATAATACCTAGGTACACTTTAAAATCTACAAGTAGCGACAATTGAAAGCATTTCAAATATTATTATTATGGATTGTTACTGATTAATAATTGCTACAAATACTAGTAACACAACATGCCCAACCACCACAAGCCACCAGAGGAGAAAAAAGGGATACAAAAGCAAGCATCAAAAGGTCATCACATCAACTCTGGGTACACCTAGCCTTGTTAGTGGGTTAGAACCTACATCTGTCCATTGGAAGCAGCGTAGAGAGCAGGATCAGTGCTGTCTACGTACTGAACATGAGCTGGATATACTGCCTGTGTGCCCTGTAACGCCAAACTCTCAGGATTGTGGTTCTGCTCTGCTCCTTCTGAAGTCACTGCTAAACAGAGATAATAGTTTAACATTCTTAACTGTAACACAATTATAGTCATTCTGGTGATTGATCTTGCTTTATTTTTCTTTTAACAAAGTGATTATTTTTTTCTTTTACTAAAATGATATTATTGCCAATTTTTTCCTTTACAGACTTCAAACATTTTTTGATATAGTATAGATAGAATACTGACTTGTCACAATAAACTGCTGTCCAGCATGTGGCTGAATAATGGTTTGCACAGGAGGTTTCTGTTGATTTTGCTGTCCTTGCTGCCCGTTGTTTGTGCTCTATAACAAGAAGGCATAGACTTATGAATTATCAATTTATGTAAGTCTCATCTTCTTATTTCAGAAAATTGGCATTAAGTTAATTAAAACTTAGTCACTGCTTTTACTAGGAAGTCAGTTTAAACTTTATCCACATTTTAACATTCCCACTTCAATTTTAAAGTCAACACAAGTTTTAAGGCAGTAAGTCAAAGTGGTTCTAATCAAACCTGCAACTAGTATATAACATTTACAGAATTCCTTCCCATACTTACATTGGGCATTCTCACCTGCTGGACATTATTGCCCAATGCCTGCATATTTGTCACTGTGAAGGCTTGTGTGGCCATCACCACACACAGGAGAAAGTGGTACTAAAAGGTAAAACAATGTATTTTTAAATATATACATGAAAAGTTAACATACACAAACTAAAAATGACCTATTCTATATTGGTTTACTTCAACACTGCTGCACTTATTTTTCTCACGAAGAAGGCTTTTTGCAAACCAGAGATTCATGGCCAATCTTGATAACATCTTGCCTCAAACTACCCTTGACTGAATGGCCGTGTCCCCTTTATTTGGGAAGCTGGTGAAACTAGTGGCACACCCCTGAGCTATATTAGGTAGGTCAATAAATTCAAAATAAATTGACATCTTAGATACCTGAGTCACCTCTGATTGGCATATTGGATATTATACATGCTTATGAATAAGATAATTTAACATATCGCCCTGTCCTATGAAGAAAAATTATGCAGACCTGATGACCAAAGGGTATTTCAGAAATCTGTATGGTTTATATAGTAGTGAACTCTAGCTACATATGACATGTGAAATATCTGGCTGAACAGTTCAATCATACTATATGAAATTTTCAAACTTCTATGCCAGTAAATTGCAGCTCCAAGTTAACATGATATACTTTAAAAAATGATTCTTCAACAGCAGTATCTGCTACCAATACCAAGGAGTTATAACAGAAGGAGATTACACGCGTGGGGGCGGAGCCCGTATAACGGTCNCCAATACAAACCCTCTCCACTAGTTGATGGCTTCATTTTTTAAGTTAGCAATCAAATTTTCATCTCATCTATGCTTACCCTCTTACCTCAATGCCAGATCAATAAATATCTATATATCTGAACCAGGTTGTGATTACCAAACTTCCAATATCAATAACAAGTTCAGAACATCATTGTACAGTAATGATCTTAGTTAAAGTTTCACCAATGAAAACCTACCCATCCTTCCTGAAGGAACACACAAGCAAAAGTGCCTAGTTGCCTTCTCTTCCCCAATACCTTTTTATTTCAAAGTGCAATCTTGTTGGCTAAGTAAATGTTTAAAGTCTACCCAATCTACAGTGTAGGTATATGAATTAATATGTTCAAAGTAGAAAAGCCACAGAATTCAGTTATCAACATGGGAACAAAAGTTTGCAATAAATTTACTTGATATGCATGTTTAACAAACCCAGAGTAACATAGAAGTAACTTGGCAACCAATGTGTACATAACAGTTGCCCAGACGATAAGGATAGTCTCTTGTTTGCTCATGCCAACTTGGCTTTGTGTCCACAAGAACACCATGTTCACATTTTCATATAAATTGTCATCCTATAATGTGCTAATTAGTCCTATATTCATCCATTTTCATATTACCTTACAATATACTTGTTCACTAAAAAGTTAATGAGCAGTATTATTTATGTATCATTTGATTAGCATGCTCTTGTTGCCTTAGTAACTTCACATAAACTAACAAGCCCCAAACTGAAAAGATAATGATTCATCCACAGGTGTCAGCTTAAAAGTCTATTTGGTTATAGGTTGCTAGGCAAACAGAAAATTAATGACAGAAATTTCCATAATAAGAAGTTCTAAAGGTCACACAAGTTTTCATTAGTGTTCATTTGCGCTATACATCAATATGAGTAACTTATACAATTTTATCCACATTATTTTTAGATTTTATTGTCATGCAAGAAAAGAGGACAAAAGAAAAAAAACATCAAACCAAAGTTTTTGTACATTCCTTTCCTAGGTACTGATGAGTTTGCAAAAATGAATGTCAAATAATGAAAAACACAATAAAACATATTTTAAAACTATGTTGTGATACAGCACATATCATCTCTTTTCAAACTTAAAAAAGTATAACGTTTTTGAATGTTTGACTTGTTTCCTTCTGAAACTTTCATCAGGGCTACAATTACCAGCAAGTACTATGACGAGAAGGTTGTGTTCTTATCAAGTCTTAAGCCCATCATCATATTTATATTGGTGAAATGCTCCCGATTCAAACAGAGCATGCATAAGGAATGTGGTGGACAACCTCTATATATAAAGAATTCCCTTTCAAAGGTAAGAAAGAACTTTATAGAAGCAATTTATTTTTTAACCATTTACAAAGAATACTTAAGTATTGCAAGAAGAATTGAAAAATCTTTGAAATTTGATTTTCAATCAACTTTGGTGTGCTGGATACAATGACAAAATAACTTGCACATGTTTACACCCTGACTTGAGAACCCTGTGCACAGAACAGGATCTAGGAACCAATCCAAAATTTTTGATCTGACAGTGATACTATTAGCTCAAATAAGGTCATACTGATTTCAAAATAATAATTAATAAAATGATAGGGTGGTGCTGCTGAGCCAACAGATCTTATTGTCATGGATTCCCTTTTCTGAACACTTTCATGACTTAAATGCTAATGATAAAAAGTTCCTGAAAGCAACTGTAATCTTTTCCCAATCAAGGAAAGTAATTTAGGGCAAGGTTGACAATTATACTTGTAAAAAGTGTATCTTTTAACACAATAGTGAACAAGATTATACCATGACAGACATGGATAAATAAATTTATAGTATGTCATTAAGAAAGAGTAGTACAATGTTGTGAGGGGTGCTAAAGAATTAGATAAGTTCAAATGTTTAAATTAAATTAAAGTCAATGAGATTAAAGAATAAGACCTGAAAATACTTTGAATGACTGTACATTAACAATCATGGTTTTAGAAAAAGGTATCATCTTCTTGCTTAGAATTAATGTGCCAGTAAGTGCTGAAGTTGGCACACTTTCTGTGAAACAGTGGACTTTCTGATACCAAGGTGGGTCATTACCAAAAAATAACAATGTCATCAAGCATGAACATTTACTACAGTTATCATTCTTTTCATTCCACTTTCTATCCTGTACGACAAAATATATTACCTAAGCAATAACAAAAACATTTATTGCTGTGATTAAAAATGTATATCATTATTTATTATTTGACCAGTTACATTTGTTAGTATTATATAATAATGCACGTGAAATTCATCTGCTTCTTTAAAAGAACTATGCGATGGGTCACTAAAAATATTCACTGATGAGTCATATGTGGTTTTGAACTTCCACACATGTTCTCATCAACGAGTTTCTTTAACAACACAGTAATTACTGGTCGAATTAAGACATCAGATTTTTATAAAACTTCAAATGTCTTCACTCATATTACATGTCATCTCAATTTAGGGAGCTAAAACTGAAAACTATTCTGATGTGATGTCCCCACTTTTCGAGAATGCCAATGCATGTCTGATTCAGTTCTGTTTCTAAACCCGAGGCTCGTTAAAATCTTAATTTCAGACATTTTGTACGCCATTTTCAACCGCTTTGATGCAGAAACACTTGTGTGATCCTTTGCAAATTCATCCCCTTTCCCTAAAACGGTTAATATCTCCAAATACCAATGAAATACAACTAAAATATCTAGCACACGATATCACACAGGGTAAGATCTAAAATGGAAAGGAAAATCACCTTAGACTTGTTGGCGGGTAACAGTCGTCACAGCTACGGTGGCTATGGCGTTTATTCCTACGGCAACTGTTGCCAGACGCTTTGCCTAGTCACTTCTAATGTATTAAGACGCTGCTAAGAAAATTTACCTTAAAATTATGTCTTATATCTTCAAAAAAAGATACACCTATCACATTTCTTTTATGAAATGGTTATTTTTATATTAGTATTAAGATATTTGTTACATTTACGATCTATATACTCATTTAATATAAAAAAAATAGTCCAAGTGAATGAAAATTTTTCAAACATTCGCTGCACTGCGACTCAGACGCCATCTTGCTCATGGAAGACTGACGTCACTATTATCAGTTGACTCTAAAATGCGAATTTAGAAAATAAGTTTTTAATATAGGTTGTCTAATATACCCGTGTTATTGGCTCTTGTTTTCCCTTTGAAATATAACTGATATTTTAGCCGCTTGCCTCAGTAATGCCTTTCCAAGTAGATCCACCTATCACGTGCTCGCCGGTGTTTCGAGGCCTCTGAAGGGAGATTAGGATAGGGGCAACATGAGGACGCGGAATGAAACAACGACAAATTAGTTCATTTTCAGTTTTCCAATTGGAATGATACTCTTACGAATGCATTTATTACTAATATATTATCTTTTATCACGCCTTGAGTTGTTAATATTAGTTTGGTCTAATTTTTAGGTCATGATTTATTAGATTTAATTACCAGTAGTTGCAGCAGTAGTTGAACATATTTGTCGTTTCACATTAGGTCTAACAGTAGACTACAACTAGCAATAAAACGTTTCTAAGCCTTATATGACTTACAAAAATTCAATGTTTAAACATGCCTTTACTCTAGCATGCTAATTATATTTTGTGAAATATTCCAAATGCGTTGTAGAGGGATTTTAATAGCAGTTTTCTCTACTGCCATTTGCCTACTTCAGTCAATTATGGTAATAACATAATTGAAACTTTTTGACATTTCTGCCATTTTAGCCTCTTTGCGAGAAAAAAAGTGCACTTAAATATTTTAAATATTGAAAATTTATAAAATGGAAATTTATCACAAAATCTGCATAGTTTTTGTTGGAAAAATTATTGCTTATTTGAAGAAAAATACTGAAATGAGATTAGTTCTAAATGGGGAATTGATTTAAAAAGTTTGCCAATGTACAATTAATGTATTTTTAAAATATGAGACAGAGTTGACAAATAGCTCAAAAAAATTTCTGAAGACAAAAATAGTTTAAAAGGGTAGTTAATGGTAACAAGACTTCTTTATTTTCAAAATATTTGTCTTGGTCATAGCCCTAGAAAAGGATGCCATATTGTAAAAAAAATAGTTATCACAGGTTTAAATCCAAAAATTTACAAGAGGCCCAAACCAGGTTGATAAGATCAATATCGTGAGATAAAAAATAATATACAACATGAATGTCTCCATCCAAAATCTCTCTCATTGTGAATTGCTAATGTAGGCCTACTGACAGATAAGTTTTACTTCCTAATATTCCAGAAGTACGACAAATTTGAACCAAGACCTTATTTGTGAATTGCAACTGTAATTAACAATTAACCCAGACAGCAACTATATTGAAGCATTTTATATTTTATTACTCGCAAGTATCAAATGGAACAAAAACTGCCCTTTTAATTCTTCATATTATGAACATTGTTATTGGCTGCTGTTAAATGCAACTTAATGTACTTATAGCTCCAAGGTATGCTGGTAGTAAGAGTGCATGCAGGTGATGACAAACCCATTTGCTGATAATGTAGTAACGGGGAACTTCTCCCATTTCCCTGCAAGATGCAGCAGTTTTGTATCTGACATGATAAATGGACATGTTTGATACTTTGTCAGTTCTGGTAGTGCTTTTTCTATTGACAAGGATCTGTACTACAAATAAAATAAAGTATGGTATTCCTTGGAAAGTAACCACTGGTTCCACTTCATGCCTTCATAAGAAAACTGAACAGATAACAAACTAACATAGGAGCCAGACGTCCACATCAATTATAGCAATTCCCACAGTTCATGATTAGTCATCACAGGTAATCCTCTTCATTTTCTGTGTCACTCTTTGTACTCCATAAACTGTTTCAGCTTTCTTGTCTGATCAGGGGGCAACTGCATTATGCTGCAATAAAAAAGTAATAACAGTTAAAGTTTTGGTGATAAGACACTATTATGAATATCTTTATACAGTAAGAGCTTCATATTAATCTATCACAGAAGTTAAGATGAGATATCACAAGATCACAAGAACACTTGGCCTTGGTCTTGCTAGTGATATCTTTATATAATAGTGGTCTGTCTGGTAGTCTTTTTCTTGTACATTTTCATTTTTTCTGTACGTTCTCAATTTTTCTTGCGATTGTTATGGAATGTAAATTACAAATTACTGATTTTGTTGAGACGTGCATACATGCACACAAACCTAGGAATATGCACTCAAATCTGTGCAGAAATATTACTCATTATCCCTTACCTTAAATGATCTTTAAACTTATTGACCACCCTGTACAGACATGTCCTCAATGAAGCTTTCAAGGCAAACCGGAGGCCATCTGGGTCATTCTGACCCCTCAGCACCCTGCGGCTGGCTCCTGTTGACAACTTGAAGCATTTTTCTACTGACTGGGGGAAAAAACATATAACATTGTTAAATCATTTACCAAAATCATTGCAAAATGTTAACATAAACCAATCAACACACACATGACAAACTGTACAGTTTGGGATCATTCCTAATGAAGCTATTGTTCTGCATGTACATATATCAATCCAACTAAATGCAATCAGATTAAAATATTTACAGCCCTCCTCCTGGCATTGAGTGGGATACAGAAAGGTTGGTGATTATACTTGTATGTTGAAAACAAGACACATATTAATCTATGTAGAACAAGTTTTACTGGGAATGAGTCCTTAGTAGACTTAAGTAGCCACCAGCTTAATAAAAGTTGGTTTACCTATTTACTTCCCTTTAATTACGTTGTTCTATATACTTGGGTAAGAATGTGAAAAATAATGTAACTAAGAAAAAGGAAAGTCTCACCTCTTGTAAACTAAGCATAGAAGTTAAGATAGCAGGCAAGGACTTCTGCACAACTCCAAATGTATCTTCATGATAGGAAGATGCGACCAAATATGACAATGCTACAAAAGCAGTAATATAAAAATATGTTCAGTCCCAACCAGGGATACAACCTTATTAGAACTACACAACAAGTTAGCAAGTATTTGGATGTTGATAGACGTATTTTGCAGTTCAAATTGATGTATTTATCACATCTTAACAAATACTGCATTTCTGTTATGATATATGACTTCTGGTCAATTAAAATATAAATACTTGATCAATATCTAATAAAAATTACACATTTATATCTAAGTCAGTAGTCTGAGGGAAAATGTTAAGTACCTTCCACTGCCCAAATCTGAACTTTGCAATCAGCAAACAGCCTTTGACTTTTAGCCTCTGGAAAATCACTCAAAAAGTACGAGACTGCTTTTCTCTTTTTGATATATTCTGCTATCTAAAAGAAAAAGATGAAATGTATATTTATAAAAAGTTGCAAAAAATGTATTTTTTTTTTTACATTTTAAGGGGCCCGCACACGGTGAGCATTTGGCGCGCGCCACTTGCGCTGCGCAAAATGCTCACGCTCCTCAGCTCCCTGCAAACGCTGCGCTCTTTGCTCAGCAAAGGTGCCTCCCGACCCGCCCCTATCGGACGTACCGTAAACTGTGGGATCATGTGATTAAGGAAACATTACATATTTCTTTTTTTTCTGAAAGTAATGGCAAATGGTGACCACGTTAATCAATCAGACTAACTATAACTGTGTACATTTTTGTTTACTTTGCTGGGGGCTGCCATCTTTCTTTGTTTCCGGCTACCGGCACATGCGCATTGTTGGCATGGCTTGAGCAATCGGCACTTGCACCCCGCACACGCTGAGACATTTGCCTCAAGAGACCAAAAAAATCAAACACGTGAGAAATTTTGCTCAGCCGCGCGAGAGGCAAAAATCTCACCAAAATACCCCCGCGCGCGCCAAATGCTCACCGTGTGCGGGCCCCTTAATACACTGGAGGTTTTCCCTTGTACCCTATATAAGAAAAGCCTTGCAAATAAGACCATATACTAAGGATACAATATCACTAATGGCTATTTGTTTTTAAAGCTCCTTAAATACCTTATCTGCTATTGATGGCTGTTTGGGAAGTGGAGCTGGACCTAAAATAGAGAAAAAAAGGCAATCAAATTTACCCAGAGAGCTATTTTTCTGCATGAAAATCACCACTTAATTGCCTTATCCAAATCATGAACTATATGTAACAGATTATATACAACATTCAAGAGATCCCAAAAAATCCTAACCTATATTTCATTTCCTTAGAAAATTAACTCTTTTGAAAAAGATTAATTTTGAACTACCAATTAAGATGTAAACTTGAATGTTGACCGAATGAAAATGACATGAAATTACATCTGAGAAATCAGAGAAACTTCAGAAACTTAACAAAAACATAACACATGTTGAAAATTATTCTAACACAGCAGCAAAAATCCAAATAAAACATGCATTCTCAAATAAAAATATACCTGAAGCTGGACTTTTAAATCCATTCACCTGTGGTCCCCTGTATATGACTGATGGACTTGTAACATCCATTATTCCATAGGGCGAATCTGGACAAAGATGAAATCAGTTCAAAACATTTATAAAACTAGAATGGTATTCAGAAAGTGCTGACCTCCACCAAGGCTGCTCAATCGTCATTATTAATCAATCAATTAATTAATGTATCATCACCAAAATCTAATTGATTCTAAGTTAGCCCATACCTGACTTACGCTGAAAATATATCAAAACCTGTAATACAACTATTTTGAACACTTCTGACAAAAGCACCTTCATATAAAATCTAAGAGGAACACGTTCTGCTATTATTTGACTAAACATTTTATTAGAACTGCAGTAGCACATTTTAAGTGATCTCACCATTTCAATCATATCAGCTCTAGTAGGTAACTTACTGAGCATGTACTTTTCTAATAATGACACTTTACCAAAATTTCATAGTCTAAAGTACTTCGTGGTACTTCGTGAGCAGGAGGAAAGCAGGTGTAAGCAAAATGACACATGAAACCCAAATACAATAATAAAAAAATCTATAATATAAAGTAGCTGTCTTCAGAAGATGAATTTGTAGAACATCAACAGTTCCCGTTTCACAATCACAGACAAATGAACAGAATGGCGGGGCAAAGAGTGGCGGTGACAGTTAATGATTGATATGTAAAGGGAATATAAATGTAACAGATTGTCTTTCTGAAAGATAGATCAATAGTTTATAAAAATCATCTTTCAAAGAAAGCTTGGAGATGAAGAGCTAAAAGATTTTAAAAGAGCGTCAACATGTTTTTTTTATCATTAACGAAACAGGATCATGCTATTTAATCACTCACTTCTGGACATTGAGATAATTACTCAAAATATATATTAGTTCAAAAATATGCTATTTGTTTTTGATAGATTAAAGATAAACAAGCAGAGAATCTTAGAAAAAGCATTTTACTTTATCAACCTTAAAATAACAATACTGAAATAAATCATCAGACATAATTGTAAAATTTCATTTATCATCATACTTTAAAAGTGCCAATTGATTCTAAACCAAGTCTCGTAAAAATAGATTGCCCTATTTATAACTCATGATATATTCAGGCAGATAGCAAGATACAGACAAAGCAAGGTGTTAGGTAAAAAAGATGTCAAGTCACAGGTGAACATAGAAACTTACACAAACAAGGCTGTGGCTCACTGGTATACACTGGTGTATACACTGGTGTATACACTGACACTACATTGCAGAGACCAGTGTATGAGGAAAACTAGAATTATCAAGGTATCAAGCTAGGGTATATAAATACAAACAAACAGGCAATGTATCACCCCAGGAAGACAAGGCAGCATAGTAAGCTATAACATACAGGTACATGCAATACCTCGTGACACATGGGAAGTATGATTCCGTATCGAAGTCATAGCAGGGTTAAAACCCAAAAAGTTTCCTATAAACAGAGATGAGAGACTTCTTTAAAAGGCAAGACACAGTGCATGGGGTCATGAATACAACACCCAAATATCTGCATTTCTGAATAAATCCTGGGTGAGTTTCATGTTGTTACAACACTGACTTATCAACATGTTGTTACAGTGGAGTAATTTCTACAGCCTCAAACATCTCCTCTGTACAATCTTAAGGTACTAAATGTGATAAACACTTGTAAATAAATACAACAAAATTGATTCAATTTATTCTACCAACTTCATTATTCAATCATTGTACAACATAAACCACCAGTCCTCTGAAATACAAAATAAATATGCCAAAATAAAACACTTAAGAGAGCATCAAATCTATTAGATATATTTTCATGAATACACTTACTTTTATCTCTGTTGGTTGCTCTCTCTCCACTGGGCTGTCTTAATGGGAGGGCCCCATTGCCCACTGTATTATCATTGTGCTGCCTCACTTCACTGGTCAAGGCATCTATACTGGTCAAGCACTGTGTACATAGGCTGGTCCAGTTGTGGGGGTGACCACCTAACATGGGATGCAGGATGTAAATGATACAGCCCATTGAAACAGTTTCAGTGATAGACATAGGCATATATTTTCAGAGGAAGTCAATTAAAATATATCTGTGCTGTTTTTTAGAGAAGTTGAAACCAGGTTCTGGCACTTATTAATTATTATTATAAATAAGCTTTGTAATAACAGATATTCAATGATACGATACATTTACTAATTTCTTCTTATCCAAAGAAAACTGCAGAAAAACTAGCAAGCCTGTCTAAACTGGATCAAGGCCTCCATAATTCTATACAGATTACCTGGCTGACTGAGGCTATAAATCTGCTTTCTTCTTTCTTTTGAGAACTTGGACAGCAAATACAAGTCTAGGTAACCCAAATACTGAAAATATTAAGAAGAGACACAATTACATTTTATATGCACTATATCTTATGTAGTCAAACAAATGCTACATACAATCTAGGAATATCCTTTCATGTGATTTATGCTCCCCTCCCCCACTCTTTCAGTCATTTATTGCCATTAATCTGTAAATAACAGGGCTGTAGTTTTTTAGGGGGGAGGGGGGGGGCAGCTGTTGAAGTTCATAGAGGACACAGGAAGTACTTTATACAGATCCAAAATTCTTTTTTTTTTAATCTTTGAAGCAGGCAGGTCCCCCCTATCTCCACGCCCCCTTCCACCACAGCCCAAGGCCCTGAACTATGATGGCAATCAAATTATAGACTCTAGATCAATTCAAAATACCTGTTAACAAGTACCTATAAGGCCACACTTTTTTATTTTTATGGATGACATCCTGCGCGCGCACCGATTTTCGTCCGTTCTCCAAAAAAAATAAAAAATAAAA